AGCAAGCAAGCAGTGTTCTGCTGAAATGGTTTGTGTTGGGGGTAAAACACTGTTGGTAACTTCTGAACTTGTCTTAAATTGCATTATTATTGTGCCTCTGATTTCACTTCTACTTGCAGCTTTAATCTTCATTAGGTCACACAAACAAAATACTTGCGTGTCACCCTAGAATTTTAGTTCAATTTACCTCTTTCTAGGGGACTGTCCGGATGGGGAGGAAGTTCATCTTTTTTTTTTTTTCCTTTTTTTTTTTGAAAAAAAGGTGTTAATTTATTGTTTATTTTTTGGATTTTACCCGTGCTTTGCCTTTTTTCTAATTCCTGCTTCTGATCATACGCGAGGGAATCCTCACTTTTATTTATTTGCCAGGATGCAGTTTCTTTTTCCTTGTACTCTACTTACAATAGATGATACTAGGGGGTTATTGTCAAGATGGATAGCTCTAGCAAAAGATTTGAACCATGATCAGGTTCACATAAACATATTGATAGTTCTCTTAACTACGTAAAGTGACGATACTAGTGTGCTACTAATCCTACTATATCATGTCACGGGCTCACGGAAGTGGCGCTAGTAATGTTTAGCTTTGCGAGAAACCACACATTTTATGCTAGTGATGAATTTACAGTGTGAGGTGGAACCGTACTTTATGTTGCAAAGGACAAACGATATCTAAGAAAATAAAATCGAAGCAATATAATTGCTTTGTAGGGTTCACTGCATTTTCTCCATCGGAAAAAGCTGGGCAGATCGGTGCACCAACACTCATCCTCACAACTTCATTTTCTCCACTATCAATTGATGAAAACATTTGAGGTATAACTTGACAAGTATCATGCATCTACTCTTTTTTTTCCTCTAACCATTCTCTCTTTATTGCTCAGTCTTCGCATTCTAGTCTAACTCATGTCTTGGATCCCTTTTAAAACAATTATACTCCCTCTGACCCTTATTACGTTTGCTATTTCTTTTATTCATATCCTAAAACAATGTTTGCTTATCTAATTTGAGCACTATTAACTTTTACCTTTTATAATTCACCCTTTCTCACACACACACACACACATATTTGAAATGATATGACAAAACTGGTTGGTCCCATTTGAGGGACATCTGTATAAGGTGAACTATATTTGACTTCTTTTATTTTAAAACTAAACAAAAAGAAAAGCATTATTTTATTTTTGGCATGTAGGGTGCAACATATTCATTTGTATCATACTCGCGTATTCATTTGTGTTGTCTGTTGGCCTCTTGCTGAGCATAAAAACCTGACCCTATGTTTAAATCATACTTGATGAGCATAAAAAATTGCATTGACTAATTGGTACTCTACTTTTAAAAGTAGTGCAAATCCGCAAACGCTCTAAAGAGTCATTTTGCTTTATTCCATCATGTTCAAAGTCAAAAAATGGTGAATCTTTGGCTAAAGATGATGGAATATACATCGGCCATTACGTTATATAGACACACACGCACACATGTTTGTGTGTGTGTATGTGTGTGTGTGTGTAGAGAAGGGGTAATCTTACACCAATTTATTAGTGTTAGATTGTTACATTGGAGCAACTACGGTGGTCCGATTGTAAAATGGATTGTTCCCTTAGTGCACCCCCGTACCCCTTCCGATTGCACCACCCAAAATTTGGTTGACTTTGGGGTCAAATGTTTTACCAAAATTTGGGTGGTGCAATCGGAGGGGGTGCAATAGGGACATGGCAGTTAAAAGGGGTAGGAACAATAAATTTCCGTAGGTGCTTCGTTTGGATTGGTGTAACAGTCTTACACCCAATAAATTGGTGTAATATTACCCCTTCTCATGTGTGATTGTGTGTGTGTGTGGATGTGTGTATATATATGAAAAAAAATTGTGTGTGAGATCAATCTAAAAAAGTAGATCAAAGAAAGGAAAACTTAGGGCAGAGGCAAATCTTCAAAATAAGATCAAGAAAAGAAAAGAAAAAGGAGAGAGCAGTCACACGGTGAAAAGGAAAAAGAAAAATAAACAAAAAGCGTTGCTCTAGTGACTAGACGTACCTGTCCCTAACAGGTACTTAGAAGTAGTCATCTACACCAAGAAAACGGAAAGAGACTGTATATGCATATCCAGTAAGGCACTAAGTTTAGAGTAGTTCAAAGTAGTAATCTTTTAGTCTGTTTTTAAATTTGTTAGTTGAATCAGTTAAAGTTTCCAAATAGGTTGTTTGCTTGGTATTAAATATTGTTGTTCAGGGACCATTTTTTCTCAACTTTTA